ACATAAATAATGCTAAATGCGGCAGTATAGGGGAATTAAAACCATTTCTTACCTCGAAATAGTCAGAAATACGTTTCTGCTGCCTATTGCTAGACATGCCTAAACAAATGTGAGGTAGCGGAAGCTTCCGCGGGAGTAGCCTAGTTTTTTATGAAATATTAAAATAATGAATCATTAGTTTATATCTTAAACACAGCCCATCATTTTAATCTTATATCAAACACAGTCTTTAAAAAAATAAATACATAAATAATTTCATGTTTTTAAGTACAATATTATGGGGCTGATGCTATGACGAGGGAGGCTGCAGCCCCCGCAGCACCCCCCTTCCCGTGCCACTGGATATCATTTAAGTTATTGTAGGTTATATTGTATTATTTCATATCTATGTTTAAATTCAAAATATCTTTGATATTTTTTAGATGCAGCCAATAAATAATGTAAACATATAACGTGAAAATGTAGGGGAATATGTGAATGAGGATGCTTGTGGACTAGGATTTGAAATTGTATTTTTAAAACGATGAGTACAATAAAAACAGTAAATAAACTAAGAGTCCATTTGAAACTAATTTGGACTGCCTTATGTTTTCATGGTTCTGATGAAGATATTCAGGCGTCCTCTCAAATGTTGAAGGATCACGAGATCTGTTGGTGAATAAGGGTTTATTGGGAAGATCCACATGGGTCCATGGTGTTATAGGAAGCTCCTCTTAAGGCAGTATGAGCAGCCATTTACATTGCTTTGAGGTACAACACTTATTTAATGAAGACAGTTTTTTTTAGGGGCATGGAAATGCCTAAAACATGAAGGGCAGAGTGTTCTAATGACCAGGGTTAAAGACACCTGCATAGTCTTCCTGTTTATCACACAAAGGTAGAAATAATTCTAACAGCGCTTTCTGTACTTTTTAACTACATTAGCAGAGAGATTAGGCATGGAAAGTTACAAACCTAATCATTTGCACACAAAAAAAACTACTTGAACAACTAATGAACAAAAGGCAAAGTTTAATCAGCATTAATTAAATACAAACAGAAATAAAATAAAAAGCACTCATATTTTAGCGTAACAGAATTTACAACAAGGCTCCTTTTTATTTTTTTATTTATTGAGGAAAACACTTTTTTTAATAAACATGGGAGTAAAATCAGACTTTGGTAGTTTTTGGTTCAAAAATATATTTTTATTTTATGATGTTGTATAACCCGTTTTCTTTGTTTTACTTCCTTAGAAAAAGATAATGGTGGTTTAGTAATGTGTCAAAGGTGCACAGATTGACAACTTTCTGGTTTAAATTGAGGCTTGAATTTTTCATCGACGAAATATAAATAAAAATCTAACATATATACTGAAGTACAGAATATAAATGCATACACCATCTAACCTAATGCTGAAATGAGTAAATCCAACATATCCTATTAAAAGTGAATACACTGTGTAACGATCTGTGAGCCATTAAGTAAGCACACCCTCTTACTGATGTGATTATTGATGCTGGGGTTCAACGAGGAGAGACAGTCAGCCTAACCTTCATCGACCTTAGACCTTGCAATATTGATTGTAACTTAACCTAAATATCTGAGAATATCTGCCGTGAAATGGGACAGGTGGGATTTAGATGGTTATTTGATGATTAAATCATTGAAAAACCTCTTATTCAGTTGTTTCTGCATGCAAAAAGACATACATGATTCTAATTGATGTTTATTTCTTCCCTGGACTTGTGAAATATGTTTTTGCACTGTTTGCGATGGAGTTTTTACAATTAAAAGCTAAAAGAGAATGAATTGGTTTTATCCCATCAGGCTGTGTAGTTGAATGATAAACATTTAAGAGCTGTAGTTGTTATGTATTGGCTTGTTTACCCATATTATTGGATTATTTTGAAAAAAAAAAAAGTATTTGCAGAAAGAATTTCTGTAACTGCTAAGATGTATATTTGTGTTTTTTTCATGGGACCTTATGCTGGAAGTTTTGGCTGATGCCAGTTAAGTCGAGGATTTATTCCTTAAAATAATGAAGAATATGTTATCCTCTTAGGACATGGGGGTCGTCTTTTGTTTAGTGTCTTTCAAATGTTTGTATCTAGATGCCAAACATGGGGCCAAGAACAATGTGTGACGTCCTGCTCTAACACTTATCTGATTTGTACATCTTTTAGCAGCCAGAAGACTTAAAAACCTCCTTATACAAAGAAATATAAAGCAGCAGGACCGAAGTTTCTCTTTTTACTTTAATGGTTTTCTTTGGGTTATTTTATTACTGAGAGATTTTAAAGTTTATTTAACAAAGACTTGAAAATGTTTGAGACATGAGCTCTTTTTTATGATTTATTTATTTTGCATTTCAAGAGTGTGTGTTTCTTTTTGTTGTTTGTTTTTTATTTGATCTCTTCCAAAGCTTTAGCAGTCTAAAATAAAGACCATAAATAATGAATGTGTTGCCTCATGGAATTATCTTTTATTATTTTGCAATTTGGAGAAATGTATTTAAAAAAAAAAAAAAACAGCCAGATGCCACTATATGAATTGAAAGCTCAATCTTACGACTATTTTGAAAAATTCTTTGAGATAGGGCCATAGGGATGAGGATGGCGCCAATGATCTGCATTGGATGGCGCACATGATGTGAAATAAATGTTTATAAACATTAAACTGAAGCCAAGAGTAACGAGTAATGTTTGTTTTAAAAATGCAAGCAATAGAAACTACAGATGCTTGTGTGAAAATGTAATGAGTAGAAAAATAAGTAATGGAGTAAAGTTTAGATACCTAAAAAGTGTACTTAAGTGCAGTAACAAAGTATTTGTACTTCGTTACTTGACACGTCTGACTGTGTGTGATATGTTACCTAATGTAAATTAGGTTTCAAAAAAAGGCTGACTAAAAATGTTAAAATGCTAAAGTTAAATCTAAAATCTAAGTTCCAGAATCAGCTCTGAGGGTGAGATAATGGACTATAGGCATGATTGAACCCTTGTCTTTATGTGGGTTGTTCACTGTGCTCAATCTATCCTATTGATGAAGGGCTTAGCATGTAGCAGTAGCAGTTTGCCACAAGGGTGCGTATCAAACATTGAGCTGTCCCACCTTAGCAAATTAACAGCTAGAAAGCCCTCTAACGGCTGCAGAAGGAAGTGCTGACTGAGTTTCTGTCTGTTAACAGGTAAATATAAACCTAGTCACAACAATAGCAATAAGTAAGTTATAAGTCACGTTTTTGAGGGCAAGTTATCCGATTGTCCCTAAATGTGAGTAAATGTTAGTCATTTGTTAGGTTAGGCTTGCAATTAAACTAACTTTTACCGCAGGAGATGAGACTGACACTATAGTGCTGCTGTGATTGTTGTGTGATAGGATGACTGTTAAATGATGAACTAATTTACTATTTATTTTTGGTAATTGTAATTTGTTTGGTTAAAATTTGTTAACTTGGGCAAAATATCAAACATATTGAGCTCTCCCACCTCCACTAATTAACTGTAGAAAGCGCTCAATGGCGTAACTATTGGTGAGCAGAGACTGCAGTCGCTAGGGGCCCTCAAATTTTTAGGGGCCCCCGGTACTGACACTCGGTAGTACGCAATTGTAAATTAGTAAGTCGCATATTTAATGGTGGGACAATCACCTCTTAAAATCCACCTGCTGTTTCTTTTTAACTGACCAGACCCCATTTATACCCCAACACATGCCAGATTTCACTATGGTGAGCCGTTTAAACGCGGCACCAAATAGCAAAGCAGACAGCCGTGCTTTTAATTACTAAGTTAATAGCTGTATAGTTCATTAGTCAGTTGAACTATGCTTCAAACCGAAATAAAGATCTTAAAAGAACAATGTATTTGAGAATTTTATTTTTTTTACACTACGACTTGGAATTATGGGTAATCCAGAGTGTTGTACTTTATATGGGGCCCATATAAATCTGGAGATAATGTTGCTTAGGGGCCTATTCTTGTGTCTTTACGCCACCTTTACCGTGTTTCTGTCTGTTACCAGCAATACACCCACACTGATTGTTTAATTAGTGTGCAACATTTTTGTTGTAACAAAAATATTTCTCTCTTTCTGTTAGTTTTTTTTCTCTCCATCAGTTGTGACAAGTGACTGTTTTTTGGGAATTTCTTTGTCCTTGATTTGTGCTTTTTTTTACACTCTTGACATGAAATTCTGACATATGGCGTCTGGGCCTACTTAATTTAAAAAGGAATGAGTGTTAATCTGTAAAATTAAAATGCGTCATAGTTGGATTATTCATTTGATAAAAAAAAAACAGACAAATATTTTCTAAATAAAAAACTTTTACTCTTCATTTAATGAGTAATATTTCTTATGTGGTTTATCAACCTGTTTGGGTCCATTTTTTTATTTTTTTTTTCTCCAACTTTATTGTTTATAACATTAATTACATGTTTCAGTAGGAATCTCCATTAAGCGTTTTTACAGAAAAAAAAGACGAGAAATTCAACTTAACTTTTGCAAGGCAAGGAAGAAGGTACAATTAAATTAACAGAAAAAAAAAAATAAACTAAAATAACAGGCATTTGTAATAAATGATAGTAACCAATCTCCTAAAGGATATATACATGACAAATGTAGAATTCTAAATCAACAATTAACAGAGACATACTTATTTAGGCAGTGCGACAAATCATGTTAACTTGAGTTAAAACACAAGAAATCGTGACATGTCGTTACATAGCTTTTGTATATGTCCATATTTGTCAGCTAACAAGGATAAAGATGAATAGAAGAATTTGAGTTCATTTTTGAAACATATAACTGAAGGTTCTTGATTTTTCCATTTACATACATGTATATGATATTTTCCCATACTTATGACAATATTGATCATGTCCGATAAATCTTTCGCAATATCATTTTTATATGATAGTATGTGATTAATATTAAATGGTGTTATATTTTCTATTTTGGTACTCAACCAAATATGCATGTTCTGCCAAAAATTACACGTGACTCTACACGAATAGAAGAGATGCTCCATAGTTTCAAGTTCTTCATGGCAAAAAACACAGTTATCAACTTCAAATCCAAATCTTTTTTTAAGATTTTCTCCTGTTGGGTAATATCTATTCAGAATTTTATATTGTACTTCTTTTACTTTTGGTGGAATGGGCCATTTTAAATATTTGAAATATTTTCCTGAGTTGCCTGATTCATTAAATATTCGAAATTTTGTCATTGTATTAAACTGATGAAAGGCTTTGCATTTAAAGGCTGTACTGATAAAGTGGTTGTTACATTTTTTTTTGTCTCCAATTGGCACATTATCAATTTTTAGTTCTGGCAAGATAGCTCTTATTTTTGATTGAGAGAGTGAGCCCTGTATCAATTGCAACAGAGCAAGAGGCACTGCTCTGCACACTTTGTTGAATTCAGTATACGAACAGTCGATATTAAATTTTTCTTTAAAGATGTTAAATTGTATAAAATTTCCATGCTTATCCATTAGATCTGTAACAAATACCACATTTCTTTTAAACCAAACCTCTTTAAATATGGTTTTCCTGTTTATTATTATAGTTCTGTTATTCCACAGGGTGGAGCCATGTGGGGTAAAATTATGGGAAAAAATCATTTTCCAAAAATGTAGTATCTGTTTATGGAATTCTGATAATTTGACAGGTAACTTCCTAATTTCAAAATCACATTTCAGTACGAAATCCAACCCTCCGACTTTCTTAAAAAAGGGTCCATTTTTTCTTAAAGCGCAGTTTTAGAAAAAGATGCCACCTGGCAGGGGATGAACGGTGGACATTATTTAATGAGACACCTGGGTGACCACACCCAGGGAGACCATCAGTCCCTGAGCACCACTGTCCGTCCAGCCACAGCTGGGAGCGCTGCTTTATTGATTAGGGAAGGGGAAGATGAGAGGTGCTTCTCCTGCTCTAATCCTCTTAGCGGCATTATGCTGAGCTCCGGCCAAGCCCCGACATGCGGTGCGCCCTTGTAGCTGGCCAAAAGCCGGAGTCAGCATCTCTGGGTCGGCGGCGCACAGCTGGAGGAGTCGGTGTCCGCGGAGAGGAGACCAAGCACCCGGTGGCCCCAGCAGGTAGGACCCGCAGATAGTGTTTGCCTTTCCGTGAAGAGCTGCCTTATCATTACGTTTAATTTATTTCTAAAACAGTCTGTGACACGGTGAGAGAAACTGCGTCATGGTTTTCCTTATAATTAAACGCGGCTCAGTTGCAGCTGTTTTATGAGCGTCTAATTCTCAGCCCGCTGCTTTAAATTACGCCTCATCACTTTCTGCACATGTGCGCTCCTGTTGGCTCTAACGCAGCATGAAAACCCATGTGAACAAAGTCCCTGCCTCATCATAGACGTGCATCTTTTTGCACCTTTTTTTTTTTTTTTACGTGTCTCGGTGGGATCATGTTTTCCTGAGAATCTGCAGCCAGAGTGATTATGTAGCCATAGCAACAGGTGGCTGTCTGCATCCTCCATCAACCACATCAAACAGTCACCTCTCCGCTTCAGATTGGTAATCATGCACACTGTGGGGAACGTTTGCACATGCTTATGATTTTCTGCTCTCAGTCCTTCTACAGGTTAAATCCACCCGCTGTGAAAAGATGAATCCGGCTCTCTGTCTGTCTCCGTTAGGTCACTGGAATGCATCTCACCTAACTTCCAGCTGGGACTCAAGTCGGTGAACATGCAGTTTCCTCAGAGGAGGCTCAACCGCAGCCGTATCCTCCTCTTCGTCTCAGGCGTGCTGCTCTTATGCATCTACGCGCTGAGTCTGAAGAGCAGGCAGCCTCATGCCCCCATCAGCTTCAATGCTGGAGCAGACTGGGGCGGTGAGGATGATCTAGAGGTCAGACTTCGGGAGGTGAGGGCCTCCAATGAGACTGAACTAGAGAGCACCAAACCTCCCTTGGTGATTATTGTCAACAGGACAGATCTAGAAGTGTGCCACTATGTGGATCCTCGCCCTCCAAGAGCACCTCCGACTCCACCGCTGCTGACCACCACAGCTCCTCCCCAACAGCCACTCCAACCCCCGCACAGTAAAGGAGACTACCCAGAAGACCTCTTCTCAGTGGAGCAGCGACGCCAAGGCTGGGTGGTTCTGCATATCATTGGTATGATCTACATGTTTGTTTCCCTGGCCATAGTCTGTGACGAGTTCTTCGTTCCTGCGCTGGGAGTCATCACTGATAAACTGGAGATCTCTGACGACGTTGCCGGAGCCACTTTCATGGCGGCTGGAGGCTCAGCCCCAGAGCTTTTTACCTCCCTCATTGGTGTCTTCATCTCTCACAGCAACGTGGGCATTGGCACCATCGTGGGCTCAGCCGTCTTTAACATCCTGTTTGTGATCGGAATGTGTGCTATCTTCTCCAGGGAGATGCTGCACCTCACCTGGTGGCCTCTCTTTAGGGACATAAACTTCTACATCTTGGACCTCATCATGCTTATCGTCTTCTTCCTGGACAATGTGATCTGGTGGTGGGAGAGCTTGATGCTGGTGCTGGGCTACATAAGCTACGTGATCTTCATGAAGTTTAACAGTCAGATTGAGCGGACTTTCAAAAACCAGCTCAACAGGCACAGGAGCATCGTCAAGACGTGGAGCACGACCGAGCCAGAAAAGGTGAGTCATTGGCGACTTTGGACTCTCATCTGGGTCGGAACTAACCTGACAACAGCCAGATGCATGTCTCGCTCCGCCCAGCTCCACTCACAAATTCGGTCGGGAGAAGGGCGAAAACATCGTTTCCACCAACAAAAGCCTTCAAAGCCGTTCTCTGATGTTCTTTAAATGAAACAATATCAGATAGATTTGACAACACAGAAGAAATAGCAGCATCAATGCTAACGCTTGCTTCCTCAATGCGAGCCGCCATTGTTGTTGGAATCTTAACGGTCGCTTCTCCACTCCAGAACACACCCGCCCTGCGTCCTGATTGGACAGACCATAAATTCGGTGGGCGGAGCGAGACATGCATCTGGCTGTTGTCAGGTTAGGTCGGAACTGCTAGAATTAAAAATACATGTGATCCATTTACAGAAAACAAAAATCTGCAAGCAGTATTTCTGTGAAAATATTCCAGTTGGTGTTTATTCAATCATAAAACACCATTTTAAAAGAAATATCAATGGCCTTATTGATTTCATTAAACATCAATCATCTTTAAAAAGTTAAGATGCAGAACAATTATCATAACAATAATCAAAATATTTTAGTTTGTACAGGAAACATATTCATGTTTTGTTTAGTCATGGTTTTCGGAGTTTACTGCTCTTATTCATCAAGGAAACTGGCATCAGTTACAAAGATTTGTGTTTTAATGTTAATCCATTATTACTGCAAATAACTTCAAAATCAGCATTGATCAGATCAAAATCTTAATGTTATCCTCCTCTGCTGTATTTTACTTTTTTTTTTACCTGATCTAACTTTGATGATAATAAAAACACAGCTGAATTAAAATGAATGCAGCATATCTTAAAATGCATCCTATCGAAATTGCTTTGAAGGAATGAAATAATTTTTCATTTTGGGTATTTGAGTCAGTAAATCACAAGAGGAGAAAACATGGTGAAAACATGTGCCATAGAATTGAGCCTGACTGTAATCAACATGGCTTCTGATGCACTGAGGGTGTAATTTAGTTGCAAGAGGATCCACCTTACATGTATGACCATGGTGATCACCATCCTACCATACCACTCATTAAATGAGAAAGTGGTTTCAGAGAGGAGGACGCCGGGGCGGCGGAAGCTTGGTTTGGTGTAGAAGGCTTACAGCCGTACATGTTTGAGCCCTTGCCTCGCAACGCCACCAGTTCTGCTAGCTCTACGGCTGCCGAAGACACAGACATCCATCCCTGTAAACTCTGGGACAGAACTCAATGGGAAAGGAAATTATTCTTATTTCAATCATTGCGTATATTAGCTGCGACATAAAAGGAATTTCGCAATCAAGATACTTTGATTAAAAAAAAATAAAAATTGATTGACAGATGACAATTGTACGGAGCCCCTCTGATGACATGGTCAAAAAAAATTTTTAATTGAGGCCACGAAGTAGTATTTCGTGCGCACGAAATACTACTTCGTGGCCACACAATAAGTTTAACGTGCGCACGAAATACTTATTAATAATATTAATATCATTCCTGGACAACTGGGTAAGCAAATTGAGCGCGCCTTCTCTAAGGTCTAAGGCGCGCTCGATTTGCTTACCCAGTCGGCCTCCGCCAGTCACGTGACATTTGTTGCTAATACGCTATTTTAGGTGGAAAATGCGTAGTGTAAACAACCGCAGCATAGCTAAACGAAGGACTAAAGGCCCGTTTACATAGCAGCCTGTCCAAGATAAGTCATTACAGTTAACATAAGCCTGAAAACAGGGGCGGATTTATTGATATTATTAATAAGTATTTCGTGCGCACGTTAAACTTATTGCGTGGCCACGAAGTAGTATTTTGTGCGCACGTTATACTTATTGCGTGGCCGCGAAATACTACTTCGTGGCCACAATTAAACATTTTTTTTGACCATGTCATCAGAGGGGCTCCGTACAATTGATATATGATCGGCAAAATTTAGATGTACAAGCTGTCAACTGGCCTGCACAAAATGGCATTCTGGGAACATCTGCCTGAAAAAATGCAACATAGTCTAATAACCCTTTCTAAAGAAATCTCTTTCTTTAGCCAGATATAATAAATAAAAGGTTCTGTGCTACAAACCATCTGAAAATAATTGTGATGACCACAATGAACACCTCAAAACCTGGGTAGTCAGGAAAATGGCTGGGAAACAAAATATGCATATTGTTGTTCCACACAGAGGCTCTTCCATGAACTTTGGTCCCCATGATACAGAAACTAATGGGGCCCTTCAGGCCCTGTAGCTGTTGTTGCCACATATAACTAATTTTAAAGGGTTGGTATTTTCCTGCAGTGCAATAATAGCAATTGCACAATATTACTACTGCTATTGAATTCTACTTTCATCTGTTTACATACACTATGCAAGTCACTATTTAATTACAAAGTTACAAATTGGGATCTGTTCTCTGAAATGGGAGTATTTTGGTCGATTGTGGACAGATTTTTACATATTTAACTAATACTGATCTAGTTTAAATGATAGAAACCCTAGTAATAGATGTTGTTTGTGCACAAAACATTGTGAATAAAATATTACATTGAAAAACTTTTAATTCAGTTCATGTGATGATAGACCAACACAGCTTAACAGACAATTATGAGGTAGAATTAGAATGGACTATGACCATAGACTATGTTAGCAGTCTTCTTTAAAAGTCCCCTGAGTAGTAAATGGTGTCCACCTGATTGCCACAAGTAAATGTGTTAAAATGTGGAGAGTGTTATTGTGTTGTGGATATTGCTTTTGCAGAAAATTAACACAATTCCCTCTAGTGTAATACATGGTAGTTGCAATATTATGCTATCTAGATACTTTTCTTTAGCATGGACAGGAAGCCTGGTGAAAGATACTTGAAAAGTGGACGCGGGACAATCATGACACAAAACCTTGAAGGTTATGTGTATACAATGAGAAAAGGTGGAAAAGATGGAGAGGTGTGAATACTTTTGCAAGGTTTTGCAATCATATCCAGACAAACTTCTGTCCTTTGGTTTCAGTGAATTTTCTGTCCTTTCATCTTTCCGACTCCTGCTCGCTCAGACTCACTGACAGCTGATTGGTGTGTCTGAGCAGGATGAGACTGCATTTGTGTAAAATCCTTTGATGGTGCTGAACTAAAAGGACTCCAGGTGTTGTAGACAGTGAGCCCCTCAAAATGTCACTCTGTTTTTGTTACAGTCCTTGAAATACCTCTATACAGCGTCTAATGTGATGAATAATAATTTAAAGTAGTCACAGATGAAGGAACCAAAAGCCTATGTGATGCACCATAAATACCAGAAGCACATTTTACATTGTCTATGTTGTCTTTGAATAGCAATTATCAATATTAAGGATTTCATTCTTGTCATGAGATTTATTGATAGAAACCAATTTTATTGTAAAATACTTACAGACTTCCATAAAAAAAAAATCTAATTACCCAACTAACATTGCTATTAATGTAAAAAAACAAACCCTCTTGAGGTGGGTAATTTAATAAATTTCCACCAGGCTCCCCCAGCAATTACACTCGGCCACACCTAAGGGGCACGCTCCCCACTGTAGGAACCACTGCAATAACAGATGGATGATCTTGGCCTGAAAATGAATGAAACAAATCTGAACAGACAGACAAACTGTTGATAAAGGCAACTTCGAGGCAGAGGTCAATCTAGTTAGAGAGCACAGCACAGGAGGCGGATCTATAATGCAACAGCACTTTTCTGTAACCGTGCTCCTGTGGAGTAATGATTTAATTATGCCCTTTTATTAGGCCCCTAAAGAGCTGCTTATATCATTAGAGTTTCAACAACTGGCTGTTGTAAGAGCTTTTCCTTTTTTTAAAAAGATATTTTTGCAACACGTCGGTATGCATGTCTTTACATCTCAGCAGCAACCTTTGTAGATCACCCATTAACCCTCCTGTCGTCCTTGGGGTCAATTTGACCCCATTCAATGTTTATCATTCAAAAAATAGTAGTTAACTTTTTTTTTTTTTTGCTTCATATTTCATGACTTTTCCTAATTTGATGGGCACAACTGGTAAAGCATAAAATTTTTGTGATTTTATTTTTTTTTTTGGTTTCATTGGTTGTCCTCTGGGGTCAATTTGACCTCAAGCTGTTTTAGCTGCTAAAAATTGTCAGTGACCTAACATGACCGCACCTGCAGGTGCAGAGTTGATACATTTGAACTGAGACATCTGGGGATCTGTGTGACCTTCTGAACTCACACCTGCCAAAATAGAACTGATTTTTCCCGCCTTTTTCCCAGCCACATACAGCTGTCGACGCATGACTGCCCGTTGCCCCCTTTTCATCTTCTTCCACATCATTGATGTGAGTGCATATAATGCGTTCGTGATTTGGTGTGAGATAAACAAATACTGGAATAGGGGAAAACTCAGCCGAAGGAGGCTTTTCCTGGAGGAGCTTGGCAATGCACTGGTCAGGCCTCAAATTGAGAGAAGACAGAGCCTTCCAAGAGCATCACCAGTTGATGCAGCTATTGTGAGGGACATACAGAGGGAGAAAAAAACACCCCAACTCCTCCAGTGGCACAAACTGCAGGCAAGAAACGTGGCAGGTGTCAGGTCTGTCCCACCCGAAACGACTGCAAGACCAGCATGACCTGTTCAAAATGCGAAAAGTATGTCTGCAAGGAGCATGCACACACACTCTGCACATCCTGTGTACAGTAGTGCAGACTAAAAGCTTGGCTACTGTGGCATGAACTGTTCCATGTTTTAGCTACTGACATTATCACACTGTTCAAAATGGGTGGATTTTCATGTTGTTTCTCTCTAAAAACTGTTCCATGTTCTAACTACTACGTGACATGTTCTCATTATCCTTTTTTTGTCACACAAATGAAAAAAAAAAAACAGAAAAAACAACCAAAAAAATCATAAAAAAACAAAAACAAACAAAAAAAACTCTATAACTCTGCCATTGCCGGTCCCAAGCCCGGATAACAAGAGAGGAGGGGTGAGTAAGATCCTACAGTAACTAGCAACAAATATATTACAACAAAATAGATAAAAATAAGTAAATAAATATGTTTATGAGAGGAAAGGGGGAGTCACCAACATTAATCAATATGGTTCATTTGGTGAGAGTCATGAATGTGCTCAAAACCTGTAAATTTAAACTCATTTTCATTTAAAGGTTTGGCCTGATGGTGGTGCTAGAGGGAAGGTCAACTCACTGATTTTCAAGGGGTTATTTATGTATTCAACAAATAAACAAAGTGCCTGTCACAAAAACTTGGTCAACAATATTCTGTAAATCATTTTTTGGAGTTAAATATCCCTGGGGTCAAATTGACCCCAAGGACCAAATTTGTTACTATATTTGAGGACGATAGGAGGGTTAAAACAATGTACCACATAAGATATCCTCAGTTTAGCACCTTTTATATGGATTCTTTGAAGATAGGGCCCTAAGAGTTTGTTACGTATTGCTCCTTTAAACCTTTAATTTTAAATCTTGTTTATATTTTAAAAAATCTAAACACATTCCCTAGCATAGGTATGTAAGTTACAAAAACAGTTTGTTTTAAAGAGTCAAACACTCTTTGCAGTGTTTAACAAATTTTATGTAGCTTGAAAGGTCAAAAAATGTCACTCGGCACTTTAAAGGTTTCTGACCTACGACTTGGACTAATTTAGATAATGTTCAAACATTATGTTCAATGAGAGTTAGAAGAGAAAAATAAACACCTGATCAGTCTTGGGAGGAATTACATATTACCTTCATAGGGTTGGAGAAATTTCCTTGACGCTGAAAAAAGAAAAAGACAGAAATATTAATGTAATTCCAATTTTTATATTATAAATTTTTCAGTCAAATGTCAAGAAAATTGTCTTCCGTGTGCCATTATCCCATTCAAAACATAAAGTATCACTGCAATACAATTTCTACCGGAAATGTTTTATCCCCTTTCTATGGTATATGGTATAT